CGTCCAGATTATATATATAGATATGAATATATATATATATATTGTATATAATATTACCTATCTTTAGTATCGTTATTTTCCGCTTTTTCGATCTTGGAGTCTTCATCTATATGAATATATATATATATATGTATGTATAGCTTCTTTATATGCATATATATATATATCTCTCTCTCTCTCTCTCCCTCTCTCTCTCTTTGTATGAGAATATATGGAAATCATATTCATATATTCTTGAATTGAATAATAAATTTGATCTTTTATATTGATATGCATATATATCTGTGGCCCCATTTCCTTATTCTTTGCGTAAAATATTTTGATTTCTGTGAATATTATGAACGGTGCTCTCTTATTATCTAAATCTCATATTTGAATATAGAGAAATCTTACCGTTCAATCTTTTTAGAGATATATCTAATAGCATATATACGAATTCTTTATAATATTCGCCTGTTTAACCTTCGCTGGGTATATGATCATGCACGAAAAGAAATAGAATATATAAGGGATACGTATATGAATTTGTTATTATGGCTCTATGATTAGGAGAAAATAAAATATAATATGAATATCAATTAAAAGAAAAATAAAGCTATAAATTTTAAAATATTTATAAATATCAGGGAAGACACTATAATTATACGATATTATCAGAATATAATAATTATTTAACCTGGAGTATATTTGCTTACGTAATGTATATTAAATATATATATGCGTCTAATGATTAAAAATTAGGTATCATAAGGATCGAATTAATCTAAATTATCTATATATACGAAATAATATATTAATATGAATTATCGAATAATGAAATTAAAAAATCTGAATCTTCTATTGATATTCCATTAAAATTTATTTGTAATAATGGAAGCCTTGATGAATTAAATTTCAAAAGAATCAAAAAAAATAAAAGAACCAAAAAAATAAAAATACCCAAAAAAAATATCTTGGAAATTCGGGCGCCAGAATCCAGGAGGGTCGAAATATTGGTTTTTTTGGTATTTTTGATTTTTTGGTTCATGTGGTAGTTTTGATATTTTTGATTCTTTTGATTTTGGATTCTTTTGCATAGTCCTTTGGTCCATTTATTAGTTTTCCTTCTGCGCGTATTCAGGATTTGGTTGCAAGCCTCAAACCGCGCAAAACGCGCACGCCCAGGGTCCCCCGTTTTGTTTTTTTATTGGCTATATGTGTTTCAACGACAAAAAATCGGAAATCCTAGAAGCCAGGAAGCCACAAAGCCAAAAAGCATAAAGCCGCTGAACCAGGAAGCCGAGAAGCCAAAAAGTCGGAAAGCCACGAAACCAAGAAGCCGCAAAGCCAAGAAGTCGCAGAGCCAAGAAGTCGCAGAGCCAAGAAGTCGGAAAGCCAAGAAGCCGGGAAACCAGCTACGAAGCCATATGATAGTTATTTCTTATAAAAGAAAATAGAGAAAATTAAGATTCCCTATTAAAATATAGAGAAAATTAGGATTTATCTTTGGTATTTTTATAAAATCCAAATTTTCCTATGAAAATATAGAAAATTCAATTTTCCCTACGAAATATAGAAAATTTGAGAAAAAAATGCAGGTTTTCTTCTTAAAATAAAAAGAAAATGAAATATTTCTTAATAAAATATAGAATTAAGACCCAAATTCTTTAAAAAAAAAATCCCAGAAAAATAATTAAAAAAAAATCCAAAAAAAAATGCTTCTCTTATTTTATATATAGAAGAAAAAATGATAATAATATTCGCACGCCGAGATTTATTTGTCGAAAGAAATGAAGCTTATATTTGAAATATCGAATTAAGAAATTTTAAAAGGAAAATATCCTAATAAAAATTTAATTCTTTCGGTAAGACCTATCCATCCGATTTAGGAAGTCAGATAATAAGAAAAGGAATGAATCCAAGAAAGAAGCCCGAAAAAAATTATAAACTAAGAAATCTCGTCGCCACACCTCTGAATTTGGTCCCCAAACAGAAAATGAGAGTCTAATGGGAATCCAACTCCTTGGCCGCGATCCATCTATCCGAGCGGAATAAGAGTCTATCTATCGTCGTAGCTCCCCCATCTAATCCAGGAATCCAGAAAAGAAATATGAAGAGAATCGAATAGGATTCCAGCCCGTCCCAGACAAGCATTTGAAGAGAGCCTTAAAAAAAAATATTTTTAGGAATCAAGTAAAGAGCCCAAAACGAGACTATAAAAGTCCACTAAGAATCCAATCGCCTATTTGTATTCCACCCATCTAACTACCACGAAATTTTTTTTTCTGAAAAAAAGATTTCGAAATCGTACCTATGTAGAGAAATTTAATAGAATATATAATTTCGAATATGAAATATTTTAAATATCTTATAGATTCTTTAAATCTATATATTCTTGATATATTCATAAGAATCAATATGAAAAAAAAAAATTATATTTCATAATATTAAGAAATAATCGATTATATATCGTATTTAAATTTCAAAAATTATAGAGAATCTTATAGAATAATAAGGCAAGCTAGATATCATGAGAATTCAAATAAGAATTTAAAAAATAATATCATGAAAAATAAAGAAAATATAATGAAGAAAATATAATAAATAAGACATTCTTTTATAAAGGATATAAAGAATTCTACCTGGAATAATAAAATTGAAAAAAATCTTCAAATAGAATATCGATATGCTAGAATCATAATATCAATTTTGAAATGCAATTTATTGAAATATCAATTATAATATATAATTCTATATAGAAAAAAGAATCCAAATATTTTTTAATGAATAAGATTTTTTTATTATAATTAAAATTAATTTCACAGAAAATTAAAAATCTTATTAAAGAATCAGAAATATAATTATATAATTTCTTAATATTTCGATTTAGAAAATTATTCGTGACCATTAATTAAATCGATAAAATATTGAATTTAGAATATTTTGAAGATTACGCTTCGAATATTTCCGGAATCTTGTATTAAAATTTTATATAAAATAATATTCTATCGAAATTCGTGGAATCTTCTTCTAATCTTTTATATTATATTAGGGTTATTGGAATGAAATTGTATAGTATCGAAGCCGGAATCTCGATCCCCGAACCCCAAATTTCGTCCCCGACCTCGAACCCCAAATCCCCGAAACCTCGAACCTGAATCCCGAACCCCGAACCCCCCAATCCCGAACCCTGAACCCCGAACCCCGAACCCCGAATTCCGAATCCCCATTCGAACAGGGAACCTCGAACCTCGAACCCAACCCTGAACCGGATCCAAACTCCAGGTCGGATTCCACCCAACCTACCGAAGACTCATGTTCAGTTCTCCGTGGACCAAACCAGAAAAAGATTAAAAGGGTCGGAATTCAACACTCGCTTTTTGTTCGCGGGGTGCTGGCGCGGCCACAGCACGCGTTGCCAAATCTCGCTGGAACCTAACTCAAAGATTGCCGGTTAAAAAGAATGGAGAAAACCCTAAAAGCGCTTTTCGGAAGTTAAAGTACTGAAACCTTGCCTCTTCCATTCTTCGCTCTCTGGATTGGATTCAACTCGAACTCCAACATCCTCCCTCTAGTCGAACCTGTACTTTCGGTTTAGATTCAACCCCCGGCGGAGTTTCGCAAGAACGTTCGCAAATGGGGGGGCACCCCTCCTCGCCTTTGAAAAACATAACTCTTTTTTGTTCTTGACCTTCTGCCGCGAAGAAAAATAAACGCCTTCTCCACACACAAAAAAGAGAACGTAATCGCTTCAGGTGGCTTCAAGCAAAGAAAATAAATTAAATACAACGTAAAACCGCCTTTTCTAGCACACAACAAGAATGAAAAAACGTCTTGACACACAACAAGAAGAAAGCCAAACGAAATCGCTTCACGGGGTTGAAGCTACAAAAAAAATTAAATCAAAATAATGCCTTCCACACACAAGAAGGAATTCCACACGCAATCGCTTTTGCGGGCTTCATGTGATGAAAAACAAGACAAAACACCTTCTCTAAACATGTGACAGGGAAACCCTTGCATCCGGATCATTCGCACTATCCAAAGTGCCGCCGCAGCCCTGAACTCAGAGGCAAAAGAAGATCTTTCATGGTAGCGGAGCTTGCTTCGGCAGCTCCTAGGCTCCCCTAGAATTAGGCCCAGGGCCTGGAGACCAATCCTGTTTCACCCAATAAGAGCCCTGTGTTTTTTCTTCATTGGCTGCAGTTTGATCTGCCCACTGATTGCCGTAAGACCTCCTGGGTGCGAGGCTGGCCCGGAGCCCTTTGTGGCATTTTACAGTTCTGGTGGTGTGGGCAAGGAGGAATTTTTCCAGAGGAGCAGCGAACTTGGCTGGTTACAACTGGCTGGGATTGTGCTGCAGAGGTTTTGTGGAGCAAGGTTTCAACTTTGGTCCTTGGTGGTTGGCGCAATGGATGGTGCAATGGATGCAGCGCAACAGCAAGCGCAACAGCAGGCGCAACAGCAGGCACAACAGCAGGCACAACAGCAGGCACAACAACAGGCACAACAGCAGGCACAACAACAGGCGCAACAGCAGGCACAGCAACAGGCACAACAACAGGCACAACAACAGGCACAGCAACAGGTACAGCAACAGGTGCTGCAGCAGCCAAGCGGGAGCCAAGGGAGTGGGCCGGAGATGAGTGCCCATTCGCCTTGAGCCTTTGAGCCGAGAGTCGGGGAGGGAAGGTGTTAGGGCCCGTTCGTACACGGGACAACCAACCTAAAGGACTAGCCGTTTTCGTAAACCCCAAACGTCATCAAGTCAAAATTCGCAAGCTCTCAAACATGACTGTACCACATGTACTGCAACTGCATGACATGACAACTTCAAGAATGCACTGCACAGACGCAATCACTCGGACATCGGATGTTTTCAAGGACGGTGGAATGACTGATCACGCATCTGTCGATCTGACCCGCATGCCGGCCACTCATGAGAGATGCCAGCATGCAGTGGATCAAGAAAAGCCTTGAGTGAAACTCGAACTACTTTGAAATGCACTGTCTGTGCCAGGTCACAAGAGACTGTTGATGACACCTGTGTCATCTGTCTGCGTAAGCGATATTGCAAGAAGTGTCGCGCCAAGAGCGGCACCCTGTTTGAGAATGCAAGCTTGACTGCCCCAAGCGAAGAGCTTGACAAGCGCGGAGCTGCCACCACAGGGAGTGGAGGGCGGGANNTCAGCAAGCCTGGTCAATGTCGCCTTCGCCGACACGAACTCCTCACGGGCAGCTGCCAACCGGAACAACATGTCCAAAGGCAAATCTTCCACGGACAGCGAAACCCTGTTGCAGGATGTAAAAGTGCTGTAGTCGCCATTCGTCAAGGCATCTGCAAGGCT